TCACGTTAAAACCGGATGTGCGAACCAAAGTTCTCGTATGATGACTATTCGGTAGCGTAGTGCAGTAGGAAAACACAAGGTACCAGACTATCCAGAGTGTGCAATGCAGATGTGTGTGTCTGCATATCATGACGCACAATCCGGCAACTGAACATGTTTGAATTGTTTGTTTTGACGCATGCACGTTCCTTGTTTGGTTCAGAATGAATCGATGCAGGTGCCACAAACTCTTTCATGGACTCAATATTGACCCTGTCGGTGATCATAGTAATACAATGTGTTGTATATACATATAGCTATAGCGAAGAGATGTTTTGCAGCTGATGAGGCGAGTGATCAAAACATATGATAGCCCAGTTGGAATAGGGTGAGTGCAACGGTTTCTCGAGAATGATGGATGATTAAGCACCAATGCCCCCAGCATATGCCCTTAGTAAGGCGCACCCCATTACAAAAGAGTGTGATATGATGAAGTTTTGTCTGTCTGAGGTTTAAAATACAAACTCAGCAACTGCGAAGAGCAAAGTTCAGAAACGGAACCAGAAACAGTTGGAGAAAAAAGATCGGCAATGGATTGCGACATACACTCACACACACACGGAACGTCACATCGAGATGAGTATAGTGATTTCGAAATCGAAACCACATTGGTCCAAAAGAGACTAAATATAGTTCAACTGGTCGCGGGTGAACAAATAAAAAAATGAGCGCAGGGAAAATTAAGGTTCTAAGGGGAGATTAGTTATTTGAGCCTAGCCCAACAGTATGTAATATATCGGTGTTGAGCAAGAGGGAATAGGAAGGTAGAGGAGAAAAAATGAACGAAAAATAAATTCCAAGAGAAAATCGTAACCAGTCGTTACGAATAAAATCAATGAAGGGAGAGGGGGGGTACATCACTTATAGTTTTTGAAAGGATTAGGAGACTAGGACCATAGTTCAGTACGAGCGTTGACGCAAGGTCTACGTATGTACCGGAAAGAACCGAGAGACTGCTCGATCACGATTTCTTTTTATTTGATGGTGAATTGGTGCCTCGTGACTCAGTTGTGGACGTCGTGCTCATATCCGGGGTGTCATAGCACGCATCTAAGAATCCGCGAGCCACTCGTGACACAATTGATCGGTCCGGAATGAGGGCGGACATTCCATAGATGGCGGCCTGGTCGAGAAGAATGTAGAAGAAAAAAACGTGAAATCGAGTGATTTGATGATTGCAAGCAAAGCTTATCTCTTAATATAAAATTACTATGCCATCGAGCGTTGTGTATTGCGAGACAGATAGGGCTTGTATTGCTGGCGAATTTAAGTAGGTGGTACACTCCCCTCTCCGATTGTTCCAGGCATTGGAGGAGTATTAAATATATGACTGTTTAAAAACGTGTTATTGCTTCGTGAGTTTTTATCACTCATTTTTATCTGCAAACAATTTTCGCACAGTATTAAGCGACCAAGTTCGTCAAATGCCTTGGATCGCACAGAATCTTCAAAGATAGTTAGTCCGTTATATCAGTCAACATGAACTATGAACTCCTGAACTCCGGGTGAGTTTATTTGATATTTTATGGAGTATCTTGACACTTGAAAAGTATGGTAATTTGTGCATGTTCCAAGTTGCCTTGTGATTTTCGATGAGCCCATCGCCCTTTTTTAATTTCCTCGGTCAGCGGATTTCGGGGAGATTCATCACAGTCCGATTATGATGAGCTCAGGTGTTTTAAATGGAAAACTAATTCCTGCATGAGAATCGGCTGTACAGCGCAGACTATATCACTTGAGATATGAGGCTACTATACCTTTCACCCCAATCTGCTCGCATTTGGTTAACTACTCAACTTGCGAAGGAATATGAACAAATCAAACAAAATTTTACCCGATTTCGGCGCCCCCCGCATTTCAATTTTTGCAACCATTAACCATGCACTTTCGTGCGCCGATTTTGGTTGCTGTCTTTTGGATGCCCACTTGGATACAGGAGCAGAATGAAGATAGGAGTGTTGAGAGCAAATTCAAGTGGAAGATAGATACTTTATATAGACTGATGTTACAAGAATAATGAGTAGATGCATGAGCGCCACCACCTATATCGCTCAGTGTCTCTAACCATTGGTGAACATGATCTTGGGGTCCCCATCCAGGGAGCCTAACGGGACCTAATCTCTTGGTTAGAGTTTTCATACCCTCATGCCAGATGTTTGTTTGATCACTCTTGACCTTTTTCCAACCGATACCTGCCTCGGCAAATATCGCTCACCGTGACTATCTATCTGGTGACATGCGTAACACATGCCTCAACCAGCGTAATCTACGGAGGTCGACCACTTACTCTGGTATTCCCCCCGCCCAGCTTTAACTCACTCTACCGAATGAACCGTGTGCACGAGTTGCTCAAGTGTCACAGTTGGGAGAGTGCAATCCAGTAGTGTGAAAGATCAGTTTTGACAGGATTTGAAGTATTACGGGGGCAGGGTCTGTGCACAGATAACTGTTACCCCCAGTATTTGGCCACGCTATAACAAGTGGGATCCGGTTTTTGATCAATCTATTGGTGCTGCTACCTGCTCCAAATTTTAGTAATCAATAAGGACGAGGTGTCTTGACTAAAGATAAATCTCCTCTAACCGAACTGAGTACACAACGGCATCTTCAATGGACGCCTACGACACGTGCCTGATCCACATTTTCCGTACCGATCGCCGTTCACGACTGCTGAACATGGCAGGAAGAAACTTTATGGTCGGCAAGAGAAAGCGGTTCAACAAATTGTTTTTCCCTCTCGGCTATTGCGTGTCCTCAAATCAGGAGTAAGACAACAATGAAAGGAAACAGTGCACGTATTTTTTTTCTATAGCGAAAGTGAGCACACTTACCAGGCCGCCCGAATGCAGTTGAGGTTTGTCACGCAACTCCGCAGCCACCGAGGCCACATCACGAATAAAAGCCTCCGCACGACCTTCGGCGGTGTGCAAGTCTGTCACACACAAGTGAACGGCGGCTGGGAATTGCAGATTGTTCAGAACCCAACCGCGACCGTTGGGCAGTTCGGAGAGTCCCTGAGACAGGCGATAAATGTCAAACCGGTCTGATCCGAATGCGACCACACAGACTTGTGGATCGCCGTAGACAACGATCCCAGGTATTTTTTGCAATCTGAATTGATTTG